CCAAAAAAGCGAAAAAAGAATTAACTATACACAAATCATGGATCCAAAAACTCGAATACAACTAACAAGAAACAAAATCAAGAAAAGATGTAATAAAACACGCAACAGACTTCTACAAAAATCTATACAAGAAGCGAAATAGCAATGACATAGAATTGGAAATAACTAACATGAACACAATAGACTGCATTACACCAATTGATAACTTCGAAGTTTATGAACATATTAAAAAGCTGAAGGCTGACAAGAGTCCCGGTCCAGATGGTCTATGCAACGAAGCCCTCAAAATAGGAGCTCCTATCTTAACTCGCCATTTCACGCAGTTGTTTAACATGATACTAGACGCAGAATAAGTACCAAAAGAATGGTGCATATCAGACATAATTCTGATCTTTAAAAAAGGAAGCTCTTTAGATATAGGAAATAATAGACCCATAAGCTTACTAGCAAGTACATACAAACTATTCTCATCTATAATCTTAAAAAGAATATCTGACGACATCGATAAACAACAACCTAAAGAACAAGCAGGATTCAGATCAGGTTTTAGCACAATGGACCACATACAAACACTAGAACAAATTATAGAAAAATACAGAGAATTCAATAGACCCCTATATGTGGCCTTCATTGAATACAGGAAAGCATTTGACACCATTAGTCATTATTCAATCTGGAACGCACTGCAACAATCGAATATTCACTACAAATATATATACCAACATCTTGAAATACATTTATAAACATAGTACAAGCAGAGTAAAATTAGAAACAAGAGGAGATGAAATAAACATAGAACGAGGAGTTAGGCAGGGTGACCCCCTATCTCCAAAGCTGTTTATAGCAGTACTTGAGAACATTTTTAAAAAACTAGACTGGTAAAACAAGGGCTTATATATATAAATGGACATTATGCAAACCATTTGAGGTTCGCTAATGATATCGTTATAATGGCAGAAACAGCCAAAGATCTAGAGATTATGATAAGTTCACTTGACTGTGAAAGTTCTAAAATCGAATTAGAAATGAATACAAATAAAACTAAGATTTTAACCAATTATCGTGAACACCCAATTACGAAAAAAAATAACAATATAGCATATGTCAATGACTATATCTACTTGGGAAAGCAAATTTCATTTATAATATCGAACAATGAAGAAGAAGTTATAAGAAGAATTAACACAACTTGGAGAAAATTCTGGGCACTAAACGAAATCCTAAAAGGGAACTACACCTTACACATGAAGAAGACCGTGTATGATACATGTTTGTTACCCTGTTTGTTGTACGGCTGCCAAACCTGGATATTAACAAGCAAAATAAAACAGAAAATCAAATGCAGCCAAACATCAATGGAAAGAAGTATGTTGAAAATTAGAAAGATACAAAAAAAATAAGAACGAACACATTCGTCAAAAACTAAACTCACCGATGCTTTGAGGCACGCACTCCTATTAAAGTGGAGATGGGCCGGACATATCTCAGGTTACACGGACAGGCGATGGACTATTGAAGCTACACGTTGGAAAGGACCAACGGGGAAAAGGAGTGTTGGTAGACCGATAAAACGGTGGACTGATGAGATAATACACATAGCAGGAAACGACTGGATGAAGTTGGGCAGGGACAGGGAGTCATGGAAGAGGATGGAGGAGGCCTTTACCCAAACAGGGGTTCTTATTTCATATAATACTAACAATACAAACTAAAACATATAAAAACTGTAAGAAATATGGAATAAATGGCTTTATTATTATATTATTTTTATTATGTATATTGAATTAATAATGAATAGAATCAGAAAACTTATTTACGCTTTCAAAAAACTAAGACATACTGCCATAAATTTTATTTTAAAACAAATTTATATATCCCTAGCAGAGTCTATACCTACTGGCATATTGCTTACCAATCTGGGGAGGAGCAACAAAAACTAAATTTATTGATATTGAAAGGGCACAAAGATCATTACTAAAAGTAATGTTTTTTAAACCATATAGATGTCCTACAGACAGACTATATAGAGAATCTGAGATCTTAAGTGTGAGAAAATTATATATTCTAAAGACATTACTAAGGAAACATAAAAATCTTCCTTTCAACAAAAAAAAAAATGCAAAATAAACGTAAACGATATCAAGTTGCACCTATAAAAATAGTAAAATCAACTTTTGCACAGCGACTATATAATATACGATCGGCTGAACTATACAATTATGTAAACAAACATCTAAATATTTATTTACGGACATATCATGATTGCAAGAAGCTCCTCACTGATTGGTTACAAGAAAATTGAATCTATGCTATTAACAATAACTTAATATTAAATAATAAAATAGGAAAACACACACATACACCCATACATACGCGCACACACACACACACACACACACACACACACACACACACACACACACACACACACACACACACACACACACACACACGAACACACATACACACACACAGACCGCGCGCGCGCATATAATTACAAATAAATATACACTAGATGCCCTAAAATTAAAAAGTTCTCTTTGTCTCTTCTCTTTTTGTTTTTGTTTTTACTTTTATACATAAATATAAAATTGTTAATATCTCACATATACAAACACAGTGCTATGTAAATGGAAGAGCGGGATCTCCCAATACAAGCAAAGATTTGCTTAAAAGGAGTCTCTAAAACCTATATGTATATGATATTGTCTAGATGATGAAATAAACATTTTTCATTTTTGTTTTCTTTATTAATTTAATTTAATTATTTACCGATATCTTAATGTTAGTCGATGCAGAAAATATCCAATTCTTCTCTGAAGACAGCTAAGCACGCTCTTTTGCATGCCAGTGCATGCACGCGCAAAACACATCACATTTCACACAAAACTAAACAAAATCTTCACTAAACTACCCTTAACACTCAAGACGAACACCGTAGTAACAAAAAATTAATTAAAAATGCACTAGAACAAAACAAAAATCGACAAAAAGTAGCTTCGAAGCGGTAAGGTGGCAGTGATGCAATAACGCACCTCACGCGCAAATGTCCGGCGGTGACTGAAACAAAGGCGCCGACGCCGATGGAACAAACAAGCCGCGCGCATGGTGAGTGAATGGAGTGAAGGAGACCGGTTCGCTTTGCCTTTGATAACAAGGGACGAATTCAGTTTATCTATTTTTCGAATTCGTATTTTGTTACCACGCAATTGTTTTTGAATTTTCTTTTTAAATACATTTTAAATAAGTAACCAAACCCTTACTTAGTGTTGTTACGTTAATGGATGATGTATTAGTTTAACTATTTTAATAAATGATCGTGTTATTTGATCCATTTAGTTACAAATTTTTAGAAACTGACTATTTGAAATAATGTAGTAACGTAATGTTAATTAGTTAACATTAGAATAATCTTTTTACAATGATTTATTAAATGTTAGTCTATTAATGAATTTCAGCATTTTGACTGATTCGTTTAGTGATAGTCAGTTTGAAATTGTAAAACTAACATTACTTAGTTTAGTTTTTTGATGATCAGTTGATAGCAGTTTCATAAAACTAGGACTATTTGACTTGTGAATCAAAAAAAAAGTAAAATAATCAGTAGAGATTTTCTACTTTTTTCAAATCAGAAACCGGCTGTTAGTCTGTTAATCGACTTAAGCATTTTGACTGCCTTGTTTAGTGATTGTCTGGTAGAATTTGCATGAAAGCGGTTTCATAAATCATAAACTAGTTTATGTCGTTTTTAGAAATGAAGAAGTCAATGACCGATTAAAAACTTGTTCCTTAGTACGTCCCAAAAACAGCTGACTCAGGGTTGAAAACACTCATTTTTTTCCAAAAACTTTGTAATTGAATATCTCCGAAACTATTTGACCTAGATATATCATTTTTTTACATCATATTAAAGACAAATAGTACTCTCCAGGAACCTCGGGAGTGTCGGTCGTTCTGTTCCATCGATTTTATAACATAGTAAAAATTATACCCACACTTATGCAATTAAACATTATTCTTATTAATAGTAAATTCAAATTAATACAATAAATAATAAATAACCCTTATTATTTTTTAACGTTGAGAATTGTAAAATTGAGAATTGTAAAAATCAGCCGCCCTACATCCCAAATTAAATCAGTAATGCGATTATTATATATTGTTATATTTATTATCTTGAGCATGTGGCATCTAGGCGTTAGCAAACTTGATTTTGTTTTTAACTATTCTTATTTTCTGGTTTTCGATGATTTAATATTTGGTAACTTTACAGTAATATATAAATTAATTGTTAATTTTATTACACCTCAATTTTATATGCTCGTGCTGCAAACAACCAAGTAGAAAAAGCCTTTTATACACTTAATTTACTACCAGAACTTTAACATGAAGTTAGGCGATAATGTATTTGTGATCAAATTTTAATTCTGATGTGAAATAATGCAGTTAATTTTGATCGCCTTGTCATGGATATAATGAACAGTTACGACAACATTTCCTAAGTACTCAAAATCAATAATCAAACACATATTTTAGAAATTTCATCATCACGTCATCATCATCAGCCCTTTTACGTCCCCACTGCAGGGGCTTAGGCCTTCCTTATGGATGGTTAAGGAGGATGGGCCATGACTCTCCATGCTAGCCCAATGCGGATTGAAGGGTATTAACTGCAAATGCAGCCGGGACCAACGGCTAAACGTGTCTTCTGAAGCACGAAGTAGCTCGAGATAATAATTTTTTGGTCACCCATCTCGTGATCGATCCTTGTGAAAGTTGCTTAACAACAACGATCGCGGGCCGCGGCGCTTATCCTCTATGCCACTGACATACTTTACTACAAATTTATTGTAATGAAATATAAATTATGGAAATTAAATTTTATCGACAAGAGCTTATCTATTCATCGACATTTCAATCTCTATGAAAAAATGATGGTGATATGACAAGGTACACATCTACGCAGATCATGTTTTATGATTTAATGATATGAAAATATATTGCTGATTGTTTTCTGTTTCGTATAGACAGTATGATGTATAACTAAACGTTGAGCGGTCGTATCAGTAGATCTAAAATGTACTTTTTAATTTTTATAGCTATATTAATTGTTGTTTTCTATTTGTATAATATACGAATATTTAATTACTGGACAATAAGACGCGTTAAACATGAAAAACCCGTACTATTATTCGGAACATATTACAATGAATATCTTCAGAAACAAAGTCGATCTCAACTCGTGGAAGAACTTTATTGGAAGTATCCAAATGAGAAAGTGGTAGGAGCATTTAGGTTCACCACACCTGAGCTTATTATCAGAGATCCTGAAATAATAAAGGCCATTTTGAATAACGACTTTTCATCGTTTTATAGTCGTGGATTTAATCATAGCAATGATGTAGAAATTTTGCGAAAGAATCTATTCGCGATAGATGGAGATCCTTGGCGAATGCTTAGACAGCGGATGACACCAGCATTTACAAGCGGTAAGCTAAAAGCTATGTTTCCTCTTATTGTAGAACGATCTGAGAAATTGCAATCAAGAACTCTCGCTGCTGCGGCTCGCAATTATTCATTGGATGCAAGAGAATTGATGGCTCGATATACCACCGATTTCATTGGTGCTTGTGGCTTTGGAATAGATGCTGACGCACTTAATAATGAAAAATCTGCTTTCCGAAAACTTGGTATCAAAATTTTTAATATGACGCCAAATAAAGCAATGAAGGCAATTATAAAAGATGCATTTCCCTATTTCGAAAAGACCTTAGCAACATTTATAGACATAGAATCACAAGTTCTAAATTTAGTAAAACATATTGTAAATGAAAGAAACTACAAGCCTTGTGGTCGAAACGATTTTATCGATATAATGCTAGAGTACTTAAATAAACCTATGGAAGCGGAATCCATAGAAAAAAGAAGTGACGATGATAAAGACCCCGTTAAAGTACAAATGATTTTAGATATTAATTTATTTGCAGCTCAAGTTTTTGTATTTTTTGGCGCTGGCTTTGAAACGTCAGCATCTTCGACTAGTTACACATTACATCTTCTAGCATTTAATCCCGATGTACAAAAAAAAGTTCAAGACAATATTGATCAAGTTTTAGTGAAACACAATAATAAGTTTAGTTATGAAGCTGTAAAAGAAATGACTTATCTGGAATGGGCTTTCAAAGAAGGACTTAGAATATTTCCATCTCTTGGTTATCTAATGAGAAGAAGTACAAATAAATTTAGATTTAAAGATATAAATTTGGATATAGATGAACGTGTGAATATAATTATTCCTGTACAGGCTTTACATTTGGATCCTAATTATTGGGATAATCCTAAGGAATTTAGACCTGAAAGGTTTCATCCTGATAACTTTGGAGCGACACAAAAAATGGTGTATTTTCCATTTGGCGATGGACCCCGAAAATGTATTGGTGAGATATGTTTATATTTCATAGTTGTAGGTAGATTAAAACTACTTTTTTACTATTACTAATTTGATAAGAGTTACCTTTCTCATATGATGGTTACTATTTTTTTCTGTTATCCTGTAGTGATCAAGCAGAGCTTTAGTATTATCAAATTCCATCAAATCAATTTTGGCCAGTACTTTGTTTTAAGATTTATAATAACAATATAAATGGTTTATTTTGTATTAATTAGCAGCCAGCTTAGTAAATTGTCATTCATAGTAGGTTTAATCATATTAATTGATTTTATTTGCAATACACATCATAATTCACGTATAACGATTTAATATGCATCGCTGATGATTAAAAATTACATTCATCGCTTGACTTTAAAAATTTTGTCTTGATATTCTTTATTTTAAATTGAGTAATTAAAAATAATAATTATCGGAAATACATAAAACAACATTATTGTAAATATGATTATAAAATAAACTCATAATATACATTTAGGTCAATAAACAAAATACGAGGATCGATATTTCTTGTTGTTTCTTAAAGCAAAAAACGATATTTTAGTGTTCCGCGTTTGTGTTCTCTTAAGGTTCTTAACCTATTAGTTAAGAATGGATACTAATTACTTCTTAAATATAAACAGACATAATATGTTTATATTTATAGACTACTGGATATAAGCAAACTATCTAGAAAATATTTTATTGCTAGAAAAAAGAAACATTAAGTATTTTAACATTTTTTTTATTTAAAAGAAGTTTATCTTAATAATTATTTTAACATTTTTTTTATTTAAAAGAAGTTTATCTTAATAATACTGCACCTCTAAGGCACATCCATAAAGATAAATATATCAAAATAATGGTGAATTAATCTTCATGTCAGATAGTAAGCTCTTATCAGATTCTACATACCTCTATGTAAATGAAACTTATATATAAATATAATAACAAATAAATAAAGTAATTAAGGAAATCTGAAACAACGAAAGTATGTGTAGCAACATCAGCAAATATAGAAAAGATTAAAAACAATCTGGAAATAGTAAATGGTATCTCCTCATTTAATTGTATTTCTCCACAAACGTCCATTAAGTTTTAATGGTGCTTTTAAGGTCTAATGAATGTCATAATTCTATCGGTAATGTCGCTTTAAACTAATGACAATTTTAATGGACGTTTGTGTGACTGGCTTTTAAGTGATATCAGTGACGTGAACAAGCGGTACAACACATTTTATCATAACAGAGTCACTTTTACGGCTTATAAGCAGGCATGTCCGTCCACCTTAGATGGGTTTTGTACAAAAAATAAAGCCGTAGCAAAAATAAACTATTTTTTATACTAAATTATCTTCACAGAATAACAGACACAAAGTCTCTCTTAAAATTCGCCATATTTTCGTTTCCTCCTTGTAATATAGTCTTTTTTGCCAGCCGCATTGAGATACACAGCTAAGGGGCTGAATAGACCTGAATCGAGCAAATTGAGCTTGAATCGTACATTCACGGGAAACCTATAAGTCATATTATCTCCAAAAAATTGTGCTAATACTTGATCGTGGTTGTAACCGAAACAGAATTGTATTAACTTCAATTTAAATAATTCCTAAGTAACATCTGAAAATATAGCGAAGGGGTAGTTTCTGAGTTATGTAATACATTTATTATTAATGATATTTAGTACAAATATGTATCAAAGGTTGTATCCAATTTTTGATAATGTAACTATGATAATAAATATAAATTATTTTGTGATTTAGCACATATAGTCATTTCTTTCGAGCGACTTTAAAGTATTGACATTTTTTGTCACTCCTACTGCAATTGACAGGGAAAACTATAGAGTAACCCACACTAACTTAGTTCACACTGATACACTTCAGTATTAGATGGACATGTGTTGCTTTGTACATCGTCTTGACGTTTAGAGATCGATAAATTTGCTTAAAAAAACACCACTTAGGTTAAGTATTTTAATTTCGCTAACATTTAAATAACAAGTTGGTGTAAAGGGAAATGAAAAGGTTTGCTTTTTTAAAGGTTTTTTTTATTGTTTTATTCTCATTTTTAGTTTTATTCTGCCATAATTTTTAAAAGGAACTTTTATTTATTTTATTTGATTATTAAACATTTGTTACTAGTGTTAGGTAGGCGAAAGTCAGAGTGGCATTTTTACACAAAAGCCCGATGAAAAGACTGATGAAATGTTTGTATTCCGATCCCATCTGAGAAGTTTTTTTTTTACTTTTTTCTATATCCTATTATTTTTTGCTTTCCCATATTTTTTTTCATTAAAATAATTTAGGATACTATTTTATTCAGGAATTAAATATTATTTCAATTATTTAGTATAGTTTATATATTTTATGGCAGTTAAAATATTTAAACATAAAATTTGACAATTGGTAAATATTTCCATAAAGTGTTATGTGTTTGTAAAAGTTTGACATATTCATATAAAAATTATGCCGCAAAGCGTTATTCTAGCCTCCTGACCGCTCTTGTACTACTCATAGAACTTTAATTTTAAAAAAAATATTTAGCGTCTTTTAATTTCTTTAACGGCGAAAATAGCACGTAGTAATATATATTATTTGTTTCCCGTAAAAAAAATCATTCCATGAGCTCTGGTCACCTGTTACTTTTAGTAAATTGGTCTCGACGAGTGGAGAGATGCGCTCACGCCAAAAGGCCGGTAAGTAAATCTAGTTTAATAATTATAATTATCGCTTATCTCTGTATAAAGTAGATACTAATGACTAGGCTGATTGATGGAATAAATATATTTTGATATATTTTTCGAGATAGATGTTTATTCGTCTTCCCACAATATGTGGTTTTAGGATGTCCTTTGCATAGTACGATGTCAGTCTACTAAGTTTTGTTTGAATGTACTGCCAATGTTCTAGGTGAAGTATATAGAATTGAATTTCATTTTTTCTTACTTTTTTTTAGGATAAACTATTTTTTTCCAGGATTAACAGAAGAAAATATCACTGAAGTCTTGAATCACTCTGATTTTGAGAGTGGTTCTGAAGTATCCGATGATGATTCTTCTTTTATTCCACAAGGGGATTATTGCGAAAATTATTTAGAAAGATGTTCACAGAGTTCGTCCGTTGAAGACCAATCATTTAATTCTACACCTGTATATCTATATAAGCATGTCAGTAGGTTTAGAAAAGCCAGGTTAAATTCGTACAAGAAGACGAGTTGGTAAGCGTGGAACAACTTTGGATTGCAGAAAACTGTGCCAAGCTATAGAAATCCCACCGAGCGTAACTATGAAAAATGAAGTACATACATTTGGTTACATTTTGTAATCTAATAATATGTGATGAGAGTCATGTTTCATTAATTTTATTAGGCTATCGGTAATTATTGGTTACAGTTCCGGAAGCAAAAGTTATCTAGTAGGAGAAAACTGTCAGAAAATTTACAATTGAGAGATCGTAAGCTAAATTTAGGATGCAAGTGGATAGAGAGAGTATAATGATGAAAGCAGTGAAAGATAGAGTGACCTAAATGAGGTTGACAAACTACTGCCACAGCATAAAAAAGGAAGGTCACTATAGTGTAGTAGGTCACCTTCAACAACAGCAAAAAAGAAGACAGCAAAAAGCATCCCACCTGTCCGATTGTGGATCTAAACTTGTTTACCGCAATCCAAGTTGTGAAAAAAAACTACCGTTTTTACTGGAAATACAATATTTTTCTTTGTTTTGTTAGGGAAGAAGTGTTTCGTGGATTTTTATGAGCGTAACGCAAATTAAAAGACTCAATTTTTAAGCTTTTTGCCTTAGGACATATATATTGGTGTTTTTTTTCGCCTGTAGTGTTTTTAAATGAAAAAATGTTAAAATTATTAAGCTTTTTTTATATAAGTTTATTTTAATTATAAGTACAAAATAAGAATGGAGTTATAACTATAACGTTCATTTATATTAACATAATAATTAGTTAATTTTGTACCAAAGAAAGTTGTTGCCAAGAATTAGGCCAAAATATTTTTGAGACTAATTTTTAAATAAGTATATAAAATAATAAAAATGTTATCATAAATTCAAAATTGTTTCAGTATTTTAATACCTATGAATATAAGGTTTATTAACATCGAAAAGGAAATGTCCTATGCATAGTACATCTTCATACTCTTCATTTGTCCTATAAAAGTGACATAGTGGAAAACTACATTTTCCGACTTAAGATTTTTTTAAATATTTTTGCCGCTATATTAGAATCTATAATAATAATATATCTAAGTTTCATGGTGCAATTGAAAAATAAGTACCTCAAATAGTCAGGAGGCTAGTAAAAAGATAATCAATCACATTGCGTAAATTAAATAATTCAGTAAATGGGTATCACTTTATAAAACAGATATAAAAAGGGAATCAGTTACTATGGAATGGAGTTACTCAATTTACCATGTTATTTGAAAATTATGGTAACAGTTTGTAAAACAGATATAAAAAGGTTATAGTTATTAGTTATTCTTGAGTCTAGGACCCGTCAGAGCGTTAACAGATGATGGGTAATAAAACAAGTTAGTTTTTATAATAAACCGTAGTTTGGGTTAGGGAGACATGAGATCTCAAGGTTAGAGTTCGACGGGAAGCTCGCAACGTGGATCAGTATATAGATAGGTATAATTATATATGGCCCTAGTCAACCGTTCGCAATAGCTAGGTCTCGGTCATCCACTGTCCTGGTAGTGCTCCGGCGAGAGGTACGGCCGAAGACGTCCAGTGGTCTGGATGTTAGGGCCAGAAGACGGGCTCGAAGCCAGCGCTTCAGCACCCAGATGTTAGGTAATCAGGAAGCTTCTCAGGGGTGGGAAGGAACCCCTTAATTAAATCAAAAAATTGTCACGGCCGTCAGGTTGATTGCGACATCACTGGTCTTCAGGCGGTGCGAGGTAAGAAGCAGGAACAGATGGAATAACGCAATGGGTAGTGATCAGTGATGAAGTAGACAAACAGCCAAAATAATTAAGCAAAGAAAAGTG